TGTCCTCTTAACGGGGACCCATTCATTCGTCGTTGGTTTGGACCAGTCGCCATCTCGCTGCCGTGACGGTTGGCGCCTTCTAGACTTCAGATCCGCTTCATAGCGGATTCCATCAACTTGCTCGGAGGCTTTGGCCAATTGGCGTGCAAGGCGTTGACGCCGTCTTTGACGCACCCTCTTGGATAAGGTCGGCTCGTTTTCAGTAGCAGCTTCAGCTTTGCAAGGTGTGCCTTGAGCCGCTGCGGGATGAGGTTCTTGGTTTTGAACCTTCAAATCCAAGTGTCCTTGACCTTTCCTCATGGAGTTTCTCCTCTTCCTACGAGGGGAGGATGATCGGGAAGAGGAGGATAGGTATTCTTCATATTTTGCTTGGTCGAACTCGTATTCGACCTCCTCGTTGATCGGGATGATGATCTTCGGTTGCGACACTACAGCTTTGGCAGAAAAGCTGTCGACTCCCATTGTGGTCGACAGTTTGTTTGTGTCAAAAGTTGCTTTTTCCATTGCTTTCAAACATGTTACACCGTTTATCGATTACAAGTTCAAACTGAAAGAAAAGTTGATCTTTTTATAAGATCTTCTTACAACGAAAAATAAAGATTACAACTTTATCAAACAAAACGCAGCAGTAGTTTATCTCCCGCTGCTTTGTGTGGGATCTTTGCCTGTGCCGGGGACGCGTTAGTCCGTGGACCACCGCAGATCAACCCGATAGACAATATAATTACGCTCTTGTTTCACGAAGGAAACAATTGCGGAAGCGACAATCACGACCAAGCGAGATTGTGTCTCTTCTCGAGATTAAAACCAAGTTTAATCCGGAGGAAAGAAGGAGAAAGAATCACAAACCTTTCGAATGGGCTTTCTTTATGAAAGTATTCGCTAAGCTCTGATGATTCTCCTCTGAAATTCGTGATTAACTGGACAATTTGACAGCACCTCGCCTTCTCAATTTCAGATCTTCTTTAAAGAAGACCCTAGGCTTCTATTTATAGGCTTTTGGAGATGTCCTTTTGAATAAGAATTTGTGTTTAAACGTCATCTGCAGTTTATAACTATCTAAACGCGTTTAGGGATAACCTCAAAACAGTTGGAGAGGTTCTGGGACGAAGGAATCCTTAAAAATCATCGAAATCCGTGTTTGGGGAGGTTTTGTGTTCAACAAGAGTCCTGGTGGCTCGGAACTATGCGAGTCACCATTTGGTGACTCGGAACTATGCGAGTCATCATTTGGTGGCTCGCATGGGTGTGAGTCACCATTTGGTGGCTCGCATGAGTGCGAGTCACCATTTGGTGGCTCGCATAGGTGCGAGCCACCAATTGGTGACTCGCGCCTACACGGGCCTCCAAGTGGCGTTTCGTTCACTTTTTTGATACTTTGACGATTTGTAATTCTTCCAGTTCTCTTGTTTTGCGTACGCTTCGTCGCTTCGCTGACTTATGCATTCTATTGATCCAATTCATATACTTACTGATGTTGGATAAATTCCCTTGACTTGGATAATAACGTTTATCGTCTTTTCCTTGTCTTGAACTGTGTTTAAAGACTTATAGGCAATTTTTAACCCCTACACAGCCCCTTGGACAACACGCCAACAGAGAGAGTATTGCATAATTATTTTGATTTTAGTTATATTAGAAATACACAACATATGTTAGTTTACTTCGTAAATGTATGTTTCAAAATTATTCCACTTATCGCTACAAAAAAACACAAAATCACCCCCATTTGCCCCAAATTTGTCCCAATATGAAAGCTTGGGTAAATTTTGACTTGGGGTAAAAAAAAAAATCTATATGACTTGGGACAATTTTATCCCCATGATGAATAATAATCTCGCTAATGTTCCAAAAAACCAAAGGTTAAAGCTCAATTCTCATTACCGTAACGGAATAACACCAAAAAGCATATCCCAAAAAGTATCCTCGTTATTCTCAAATTACACTAATGAATAATCCCCCAACTTAAATAGATTTGATGAATTATTTTGATTTCGTTGCACAACTATATTTGGTATAACTTAAATAGATTTGATGAATAACTTTATAGTGTCAAATTTCAGGTGACATATTTTAAAACCACATATTTTCACACAGAATGGATATAAAAAAAGTCCCCTAAAGTAAAACCCCTAATAAGAGAAGATTAGAATCGGACACGATATCACTTGAGATTTCGGGTAGTCTTATGTGAGGTGAGATGGTTTTGCTTAGTGTCCAACCCGACCTAAGCACTAGGAATTCTATCAAAACCATCCAAACGGGAGCCAGACGATTTACGCTATAGATAGAAGAGCTATAATTTCTGAGTAAACCCATCCTCGAAATGGTAATATCAACTGGCTCTGCTGCTTCTTCCATGTCAAGAACAAGCCTGAGTCCCCATAACAAAAGAAGTACGGTGATGCACCACACAAACTATGCCCGGTGGAGTCGAGAAAGCCCCCATACAATTAAATGAGGCTATGTAGATGGGAGAACCTCTGGACCATGTAAACGTCATTGCACACGTAGCGGCATAGGAATCCACATTAGAACCGCCCGCATTCGACCGAACAATTCTAAGCCTCACACTGAAAAGGCAAAACGACCCACTTTCCCCCTGTCAAATATAAGAGCAAGGGCAGCAATCTCCTAGTAGGGAGCTCTTGTTGGAGCGCTCTCAAACATGGGGCCCACTTAGGAGCTTCCTACTAGGAGAAATATTCTAACAAACTCCCAATTAGGAGCTTAAATATTATTTAAAAAATCCATTCTTCTACCTCTAACATTTTATAAATATATTTTAAAATAATAAATCTAATAAAAAATATTTTTTAGTGCCCCCCAGGAGCTCCCAAGTGCTCCACAAATTTGTGGAGCTCTTAGGAGCTTCATGGCGGACCCCACCGCCAACTAGGACTTAAGAGCCTCCTTGGGAGCTTGTTGGAGCATGTTGGGAGTTTTTCCTTACCACATCACCCTTAGGAGCCTCCTTGGGAGGCTGCTGCACTTGCTCTAAGG